TTTAACATCAACCAGTTACCTGTCCATGAGATGCAGGATGCTGACTCCAGATGGAAATCTATCAGCAATGAGATGTGGAATAGCTGTGATATTAATGGAAAAGAGTGCTGGTGCAATCACACATCCTTGTTTGATTCCAGTTCTAATAGTGAAGGGGTCTGTCTTCTCAGCTGGAGTGGTACCCAGTTACTGTGAAGGCATTCTGCAGTGTTTTCCAGCCACGGGGTGAGAGGGCGTTGCTCAGCCTTGCACCTGCCACCCATGGTGGGGTGGGGGAGGCAGCGATGGAGGGAAGCCTGTTAATGAACCTGATCACTGACAGCCTTGTGCCTCCTGCAGAGCACAGTGAGCAGAGCTGTAGCCCTACAGGATCAGGCTATCAGTGAGCACAGGCCTGGGACAGAGTTCACCTGTGGTAAGCAAAGCTGCAGCCCCCTCTTCCTCCCCCAAAAGCAGTTCTGTCCACTGTGGGGAAGCCCAGTTCTGCATTTATTGACAGCCCAGTCCCAGGGGAGTGGGCAACTTGGGGAGCAGACAGGCTGGTTACATTTCTGCCATTTTTATAGTGCTGCAGGAAGTGTGCATGTCTGTGCCCTCACTTTTGTAGTGCTACAAGGGCCCATAGATAGATAGATAGATGGATAGATATGTCTGTCTGTCTATCCTTGGCCTCTGCTGCCAGAGGTAGAATGCCTCCGTATGTGAATGAGGTTACTTACAGCTCTGCAATGCACTGCAGCCTGAAGTGTGGCTGTACCTGTAGAATCCAGAGGAAGAGGGCACTTAGGTGCAGGCAAGGGACTAGGATTTTATTATATGAAATTAAAATTAATCAAAACATTTCATTTCCATGGATCAAGCTGTAACAATGAGTGGAAACACAATATGTGCTCAAGCTACAGCAGATTTATTTCTAAATTACCAACAAAAGGAACCATATATGATGCCATAAGAATAGTTAAAGACTGAATTTTTCATAAAGGTGATTTATGAGAGTATGTCCATTGCAAGGAACAAATGCGTTATTTGTTCACTAGTCATTCCAGTTTTATGCCACACAGAATATATTTTAGTTAAGAAATATTAACATGCTTCATTTTCTTTGGGGTTTGACATTCCTGAAGCGTAGAGAGCACTTTGATAGGTATTTTATTACCTACTGCTGATTGTCAGAATTGACTGACATAGACTTTTATTTGACAGCCAAAAGTGACTTGGGATTTTTGGTGCCTCCATTTGTGGGTGCTTTACAGGGACCTGATTTTCAAAAGCACTGAGCATCCAGTCTTGGAAAAGACCCTCTCAAAGGATCTCAAATTGGATGCTCAAAATATTAGCACCTAAAATTACTAGCTGTTCTTGAAAAGTTTGGCTGATGTGACTAAGCTGAGACCAACTGTTTTGTAATTTAAATTCTTTACTTACAATCATATGCAGCTGCCAGGTAATTAAAAAAAATCTTTCCAAAAATACATTCCATAGCATTGCCTATGTCTATGGCATTCTCTTGCCTGCAAAGTATAAACTGCAAAGAATAATCTACATATCCAGATGTTTTCAGTTTTGCCTAAGTCTTTATGTTTTACTACATGCTCCCTGCCAAGAACAAAAGAGATCCATATTGGCTGTGGTTTGGAGGGCTGAAATGTTTAGCCACTGGTTAGTCAACATTTTTTGCACTTTCTATCTCATTTTAGTAATGGCCATTTTCTCCATTAGATCTTTAAAACAGATGGAACATATAATACAAGGAGTATATGAAGAGATTTAGAGCATGTCTATATTACAACACCAGCATGCCTGGGCCAGGATATTCCTGAGCACATCCCTCTTCCCCTAGCAACTGCTTGCACACTCCACTAGCAGTGTGCCAGTGAGACTACTTCAGGGGTGTCCTCAGACACTCCTGTCAAGCTCACTGGACACTGAAGTCTTGAGGGCAGCTCCACCCACATATTTTTAGCGTAAAGTATGTAAGCAGGTGCAGGTAGGTGGGTGCACATTTGGAAATGTTCTAACCAGGACGTGCTACCACTGTGGCAAAGGCATACTCTTAGGTGCACACGTTCCATTGAAAGTGACTCACATGTAAGCTCCTAAATCCCTTTTGTGCTTTTGAGTATTAGCCAGATGTAGCATCAGAGAGCAGCCAAATCCTGCAACTTAATAAATGATTGGTGATTTCCCTTAAGCCCCAGATATGAGTTTCTCAGCTTCATTAAAAAAAAAAGAAGAAGGTCGTAACCCTTGTAGTGAAGGGTGAGTCAAGTACAATCCAAAAGAACCCCAAGTACATATATTTTAAAATCACATCAGCAGTCACGGGTGCTCAGCCTCTCTGAAAACTAGGGCACTTGTGATGCGTCTAATCCACTGCTGACGCAGTCTTGGCGCACAGTGGCTTCAGCTCTTGCTATTTTTTTTTTAATTATATTTTATAACATTTTAAGAAATGACTAAGTAAAAAGAGACATCTGATGTGACCACAGAGAACTATGAAATCCAAAAAGGGTCAGAACAATTCTGACGATATTTCAGTGATTTCCACAGTCAAAAGCCAACATTTTATCTGAAATATAAAACTTAAATATGGAGTAACATGCCAAGTGAATTCAAGCGGTTGATTTAGCTGCCTCAGGGCACTGGATTGGGTCTGATGAAATCAGTGGCAGTCTTTCCATTGTTGGCTGGATTGGATCCTGCTTTTGAGGTCCTTGCTCACAAGGATGAGGGTGTAAAACACAGAACAAGACAAAAGTGCACACAAGCAAGAACAAATCAAATAGTGATAGGAAATAATGCAGGAGGTTAGACTCTTAGAGTCCCTTCTAACCCTCTGATTCTTTTCTGTGATTCTAGCACACTTACAATGGGGCCCAGATTCAGAAAAGCACTTCTAGTTGGAAAAAGGACTTACCCACATGTTCCAATTGAGCATGTTTAAAGTGAACCATACAGGTAACTGCTAAGCCTGTGTGAAGTGGCTAGTATTTGCTTCAGATTCAGATTCAGCTGATTTGGGGGACAGTGATTCAATTCAGTGCTTGAATCACTGCCCCAAATCGATTCAGCCACATCTGATTCGGAGATTCAGCTGCTGCCGAATCAGCCGAATCTCCGAAGCAGACAGGCACCATCCCCGACCTGCTCTCAATGGCTGCCCCGCCTAGCCCCAGCTTCTGGCTCCTTTGAAAAAAAGCCCCCACTCACAAGCCCCCTGACCCCTGCCCACTCTCCCAGCCCCCCCATGGCTGCCCCACCTGCCCCAGCTCCCGGCCCTTTAAAAAAACAAACAAAGAAACCCTGGTCTCACAGGCTCCTGCCAGGCCGGGAGGCGATCTCCACTTCTCCCCACTGTCCTGTGCTGCCTGGGAGACTCTGCCACGAGCCCCCAGAAGCCACAAGGCCACTACAGGAGCCGGTGAGGCCAGGGTTTGTTTGTTTGTTTTTAAAGGGCCGGGAGCTGAGGCATGCAGGGCAGCCATGGCGGGGGGGCTGGGAGAGCAGGTGGGGGTCGGGGCTCGTGGCAGAGCTCCCCCCCCATGCAGCATGGGGCAGCAGGGATTATTCCCCCGCCTGGCAGCACCCAGTGACTAAGGGTTTTTTTTTAAACAACCAGGAGCTGGGGTAGGTGGGCAGCCATGGGGGGACTGGGGGAGCGGGCAGTCCTCTAGCCCCGCTCCCCCGCCCCCTACTTAGCAGCATGGAGTCTGGGTCCAGCTCCCTGCTGCAGTGAGCGGGGCGGGACTGCCCGAATTGTTGAAGCTCTCTGAATCTTTTCCGAATCAATTTGGAGAGCTTTGAATATATTTGGACCTTTTAATTAGCTGGGGTCATCTAGACCCAGCACTCTTGCCTGCTTATGCAGGGGGTCGGACTCGATGATCTATTGAGGTCCCTTCTGACCCTAACATCTATGAATCTATGAATTGGTCCCTTGATTTGATTCAGATTTGGAGATTTGGCCACCGAATTGGGCAGATTCTCCTCTTGAATTGAATCAGCACCTGAAGCTTCACACAGCCCTAGTAACTGCACCCCTGAGTCAAGAATTAAAATCCTAGTACCTTAAGAGGCTGTGCATATGAAAAGTGGCCAGAAATTATTCAACGTCAATGATCCTTGTCCTTTGAGATGTTACTAACATCATGTCCATTTTCTCTGCTTACAGCCACATTCTAGGGCTGGGGAACCTCACAGATCCACCTTGTTGCAGAAGCGTATCAAAATAAGTGATCCATAATTTGGGTTAGAGACATCCTGAGAATAGGCTTTCTGATAAGTTTCCCAGTTCATTCTACTCTAAGATGGGTTAGACATGTCAGAAGAGGTATCTAATACCAGGTATAATCCTCCTATTTTTGGATTTGGCTGAAGGCAGGGTGTGCAGAAGAGAAGAAAATTCTCAATTTTTGTTTTTAAGGTAGAGCAGATCACACAGGGGCTGGGGAATGGGACTCTGTCTGACTTTCTGGGGAATTTTTCAGTATCCCTTTGTTTCCTTGCTGGCACTGCATACAGCTCTGCAGAAGCCCATGAATCTTCAGAATATTTTAGATCTGCCTCAGAAGAGCAAAGCCATGGCAAGCTACCAGTGCCAGACATGAACATGGCTTGCATGAAGCTTGGACAATTTGTTCAAAAGGTTCTCCTGTTTTATTTTTGCCACATCATATTGCTAATATATTTTTCCTCTCTGCTGTGCTTTAGCCTATAAAAGAGCTGATCCCCAAGCATCTAAAAGAGGCTTAGTTTTGCTGTTCATGGTAACAACTATATTGGTCAAGCTGCCAGAAGATCTTTGTCCAAATCATTCACTGCAAAGAGCTGAAATTGCTCATAGACAAGTGTGCCTTACACAGCTGTTGAATTTAATAAGAAAAACATGCATATTGAGTCCTACGTTCACATGCACTCTGTAAGCATTGTATGTCTGACACATTATCTTTTTGAATTTTGGCTTATCATTCCTGAAATGGTTTTTTTTATTATTATTTTAGGCAGTTTGGGGCCATAGGGTCACGCCTGACTGGAGCAGGATGGGGCGGCTGCACTGTGTCAATGGTGCCTACTGACAAGCTGACTTCTTTCCTAAAAAATGTGGAACAAGCTTATTACAAAACTGATGACCAAAGGTTAGCGCTGGAGAATAATAGCCTGTTTGCTACCAAGCCCGGAGGTGGAGCTTTGGTTTTACTCGAGGCCTAAAGAACGTAAAAATTTGAAAGAAACTATGTAGGCCATTTGGGAACTGGCAGGACTTCCCATGCCACAGTAAATTAATCCCTTTTCTGTTTTAGATTAAAATGAGCAGTTGCTATTATCAAGATACATTTCTAAAGAAACAATTAAAAGAGCTCTCTTAGGCTTTACAATGTATTTTTAAAACCTAAAAATCTCTCCCCAGCTAATAGTATCCTAAATGCTTATTTCTCTGTGGATTGTATCGTGTATACATTGATTTGGTGAAACATACCGATTTGAAAAATTGAAATGAACAAGGCAGACAATTAAAATAAAGATGCATACTTTTCTTAATGAATCTTTCTTTTCTACCAACATAGAGGTAAGTGGCAGTTAATTGAGCTGTGTCATTGCATAAACCCAGATAATATGTCACCCCTTATCTCAGACCTGTTTTAATGCTGGGGTTTATTCATTTCTTCTAGCACGGGAATCAGGCTGCTGGATTTTTTTTTAATTGTTGCTTCCTATGAAAATAAGACCAAACTGAATTACACAGAATTTACTATAGAAGTTTTAATGTTCTGCAATCTAAATAAGCAACGTTGTGCTATTATTTATTGCTATAAGATTGAATAAGTACCTACATCAGGGGTGGGCAAAATATGGCCTGTGGGCCAGATCCAGCCTGCAAAGGGAGTTTATGCAGCCTGTAGCAGGTCTCTTGGCTCCACCTGGCCCAGGCTTGTGTGGGGGCAGCCTGGGCCATGGCACATGCAGCTGGTCCCACCACTCCCAGATATGCAGCGGGGTTGGGGCTAGCCTCTGCTAGAGTGGCAGACTCTGCTTCCCAGTATCCCCAGCAGCAGCAGCTCCTTCTAGTTGCCACTGCCAGACCCAGCTCTGCTTCCCAGGCACCCTGGCCCACCCACGCCACACCCACTGCCGGGAGCACTGAACAGAGTGGGTGGATGGGGTCTACATGGAGACCAGCCTGGGACCCCCTCTGGCAAAGTGCATTCATCTGAGTGGATGGGATGAGGCCATGGGTGGGTGGGGATCAGTGTCCAGGAGCAGGACAGGCAGCTGGGGCTGGGGCAGTGACAGCATGGGGCCGATGACATTGTGACTGGATTAAGCCACCCCACACTGCTTGGCCATGCTGCCTGCAGCCATGTTGTACTGCAGCTGCCCATGCGTACCTGTGTTGGGGCAGAAGCCAGGTCGTGGGTATGCACTCTGCCTTCATCCCAGGTTGGGCCAGTCACGATCCGCTGTGCAGGGAGTGGATCACAGCTCTGCCCCAGGCCCCATGCTGTCACTGCCTTGCAATCCTGATCCTGGTCACAGTCCTGGCCTTGCCTGCCTGTCTTGCTCCTGGATGCTGCTCCCCACCCACCTGCAGCCCCATCCCATCCATTCAGCCAAGCATGCCCTGGCCACTTAGGAAGTTTTGATGAGCTGTTGCGAGTGGTGAGGATGGGGGTGCTGACATGAACCTGCAACAGCTCACCAAAACTTACTAAGTGGCCCTCCAGCCCAAGTAATTGCCCACCCCTGCCCTATAGGCTGTAATCAAGCATCAAAACCCGATTGTTTTAATTGGTGAAATGACAGCCCAGCTCTGAGCTTACTATAGCTGCTATTCAGAATGTATTTAACAGACATTGAGGCAATGGCAATATGAAGAAGCTAAACCATGGGTTTTCTGGTTTCTTGACCAAAGCAGATGACCATAAGTACCATAAACAGAAGTCAAGAGAGTCGCTCTATTTATAATTCCCATTTTGCACTGTGTAACTTTTTCAGAAATTTGCCTTCTGAACTCTACATTTTTCCTGCTTGATTTTAGTGCAAAGGCGGCATGTTTGGAAGATTCAACAGAATCTGTAATATTTTTGAAAGCACACGAAACTGTGCTTTCCTGTAACTCACTAACAAATGATCAAGTGGACATTATAGTGCTTGGACTACTAAAAAACAAGTCATCTATTAAACTTGATACATGTTTGCAGAAATCTGTCAAGTAAAAATGCTACAAGAGCTTGAGACCTCTTGGCCATTTACAGAACTTAATTTTTTGTTATTTTTTTTAAATGTCCATTGAGAAAAGTTTTCACACAAGCACTTAAATAAAATGCAGGATTGATATGGGGCAGGTCTCACCCAGATAGATTAGGAAGATTCCTTCCCCCAGACCTGGGCCTCCAAGCTGCAATAGTAATAACAATCTAGCAATCATGCAGATCGCATCCAATCTCCTGTCTAAGGAAAATGGTTGTGGCTTTACACAGCCCTGGATTTGAATGTACCAGCCTGGCCCACTCATTCCTCAGACTGGTGAGGAAGGAGCCTTGGGAAGCTCTACCCACCAGTGTACAACTTTTATCCCCTGGTCCATCGTAGTGGATCCTCATCAGAGGTCTTGCAGCTGCAGGACCATGAAGGGTGGGGAAGACTTTTCCCCTGTACCCAACTCTCTAGAGATATGTGTGAATGTCAGAAGAGATGGACAATACATTACCCAGGCTGTCTTGGTCAAAAGTGATTTTTCAAGTCCTGTTCATTCGGTGTAGACCATGTGCCAGAAATGAATACAGCAGATGGCCAAGGACCAGCACAGGCTATCAGACCTTTTGGGGAGTCTCCCAGGGAATATGTAATGTCAGCATAACCAACAGAAAAATAGCTCTGCTTTTTTGAGGAGGGGAGGTGCAAAAAGAGAAGAAAGCGAAACAGAGAACACTAAAGATCAGGGATATCGGCTGACAGACAGGCCTGGGCAGCTGGGGGAATAAGGCAGGTGGAGGAGGAAGAAAAGAGGAAAGAAAGTGAAAGGAAAGGAAAGTGCTAACGGCTGCCAATAAGAATAAGAAAAGCAAACCTCCCCAGGAAGGTTCTAAGCTTGATATAGGCCTCCTGTATGACCACCTGTGTATGGTAATGGGTTATATGCTATTAATATGGAGCAGATGTGCAGATTTTCATCAAGACCTGCAAACAGATATGTAAAAATCAGTGGATGGCAGGCAGGGATCTCCCAGATCTGCAGGTCAGGCACAGAAATCTAAGAAAGAACTTGGCTTTTGATTTCCAAATGACTTATCTTTGCTTTTATTCTCCATGTCACTCTTATCTGATCTCAGGAATTATGTTTGGCAGATGCTTATTATTTATTCTCCCTTTACAAGCATATTCAACTCAGAGTACAGTTAACTATCCATATCCTGCTTTTGAAATACCTTGATTCTAGATTATACACCCAGTTCATCTGAAAATCATTTTTATTGCAGAAGGAAAATAGAGAGGTTGTATTTAGTATTATATCCATTTAAATACATACCAATTCATTCATTAACAAATCTGTGCTGAGCCTTAGTTCAGTGGGGTGCATGGACTTGTTCTCTATCAGTCTAGGAACAAAACAAACCAGTTTTTATTAGCAACATTTTTGTTTAGGTGCAGCAGGACATGCTTTATAGTCTCTGAATATCCCCAAATGTGGAGACATGTTTCTCAGGGAATATCAAGGTATGTTAAGTTTCAGAACTGTGCTCTCTGTAATTGAAAATGAAAATGCTCATGGGGAACTAATGAGAAATCCTAAGGTAATTTAAAAGGGTGAATGCAAACCTTTGAAACTGCTGGTCAGTTTTTTTTCTTTGCTGTTTTATTTCTTCAATTGCTTCTTTATGCTTGTTCTGCTGTCTGCAAAGCCAAAATTCAATATGTAAACATATTATACTTCAACGAGAAATCCAAACTACTCAGAGTTTACACACAAAAAGGCACTCAAGCATTTTTAGGCAGTCACAAAAAAAATGTCCTCCCAAATAAAGAAAAATGAAGCAACCTTACAGCTTTGCTTTGCCTGTGAAGAAGTAGTAACAGAAAAACTAAAAACCTTCAGAGTGACATCAAACAGTATATATTTAAGGAACAAGTAGTGGTAATACTGCTACAAAACAGTTAAAGCAAGACTTTGGTCTGGAAGCAAGTTCCTAAAGTACGGGGACTCCTCCAGCTTTCCAAACAAGGTGGTAAGGCTTTCTAGATTTGTGATTTCTTAAATAATATATTGTCTTAGGTTTCTTCTGACTACAGTTGAGAAAAAGCATTTTCTGCCCTTTTCTGGAAAAAGCATCCAATGTAGCATACTCCTTTCATGTACTTTGCTTAAAAAAAAGCACTGTGAACCTTTCTAAAAGCATATAGAATGGAAATACTGCCAGGCTTTTAATAGCAGCAGCATTGCTTGGTGCCATATTAATGTACATCTCACTATAAATGTAACCCCTGTCCACAGCCCTAGTATCCATAGCATAGTATCACTCTAAAACCCCTATGTATTTTACAAACTGCTTTAAACTTACACAGTATAATCCTCCTGGAATTCCTTTCTGAGCCTTTGTCTCTCTTTAATAACATCTCGATAAGTTGGAGCAACTGGCGTGCTGCTATTTCAGTCAAGTGAAAAGATCTATGTTTTCAGACATTTGGAGAAATTAGTTGGTATGCTAAATCCCAATCAAGCATACATAAAGGAAAGCCAAAGAAAGTCACAGCCAAAACAATAGTCAATTGAGATCTGCAGTGTCATAAAAGAGGCACTATAACAACAGAACTATAACTGTTACTAGTACTGAATTAACACTTATCACAAATATATATGAATGAAATATCTCATATCTATGAGATGGTCAAATGAAATGAGCTGTAAAAAGGATTTCTACTAAAAAATCAGAAGACAAACACAGATTAAGATTTAGCATTATTTGTGCTGTAAAGCAGGTGGAATATTACATTACAGATTAAATGTTAATTTCAAAACAGTTTCAGGCCCAGTTAATAGTTGGCTGGCTCAGGATAGACAACAATACCAGAGGGAATGAAGTATCATAACTGAAAATTGTTTTCTGTGATACAATTTTACTAATCCAGATTGAACAATATTCCCCTATGTATTGGGTTGTCAGTCAAGCCTAGGCAGCCAATCATCCATTCAGACTACAACCTCAGCTTTTGTGTTTGAGCCAGACTTGCCTCTTAATCTGATTTTGAAAGTATATTACCCTTAAACCAAAAACAAATCATCATCTCTATCCCTGATCTTAGCCCTCTGCTTCTAGGCATTTGTTAGAAACCAGTTTTCTGGGAATGATGTTCCAGTTTTCTGAAGTCTATATTAGGGATGTCAAACAATCAAAAAATGTGATTGCGATTAGTTACATTATTAAAAAAATTAGCCGCAATTAATTGTGATTTAATTGCACAGCTAAAAACTCAAAATTATGCACAATTATGCAGGTACTTTCTTTGGTTGGGGGGTTGTGTGTGGGGTGTGTGTGTTGGGGGGGAATTTATGAAGGTGTAGGGAGCTGTGGGTGTGTTTGTGGGGTTGGCACCCAGGAAGGGGGGTCCCCACACACCCTGGCAGGATGCGGGGTACTGTAGGTCAGGAGTGAGGGCTAGCAACAGGGCTGGTGGGGCTGTGGCTTAGGAGTCAGGGGTAGACAGACACACACACAGACAGCACCCAGCAGGTAAGTCTGTGGAGCAGGAGGGACAGGGGGCAAGGGAAGGGCAGGAAAGCAGATCGAGGCCCCCATAGTGAGGGAGGGAGTGGGGCAGGGGCAGGTACTGGGGTCAATGGGGCCCCGGGGTCAAGGTGGGTCACGGGATGTAGCCACCGATGGCTTGTCCAGGGGCATGGTGGGGTGCCACTCCCTGCCGCTGCGTGCACCCCAAGGGAGGCACATGCCCCCCTGGATTTGTGTACAGGGTGGAGGTGGGCTGCCTGCTGCAGGCTGGGGCACTGCACCTGCTGCCTTTGCCCTGGGAGCCACGCGCTGGCCACACTGCACACCCTGCCCACCCGGCAGCAGGAGGCACAACATGGTGTTGCGTGACTCCTGGGGCAACAACAGCAGGGTCCAGAGCTTCAGCTCACAGTGGGCAGCCCACCTCTGTCCTGCGCACAAATCTGGGGGGCACATGCCCGCCATGCCTCCTAAGGGTGTGTGCAGTAGTGGGGAGCCACGCCCTACCCATGCACCTGCCCCGGCCCCAGGGCCCCATTCACTCCAGTGCTTGCCACTTCCCCACCCCATCCCTTACTGTGGGGGCCTCAATCTACCCCCTTCCCCCACTGCAGCCACCCACAGCCCACCCCCAGGCTGCACTGCGGCCCTCTGAGCTGCCACTGTTGTTCCACTGGGTGGCCCGGAGGTGGTGGAGTGGAGCCCAGGCATGGACTCCAAAACCATGTTAACACAGAAAAAAAATGCAAGAACTGATTAACGTATTAATCGTGCACATTAACTGTGATTAATTGACAGCCCTAATCTATATATCTAGACCAGTGATTCTCAACCAGGGTGCCACGGTACCCTGGGTTGCATGCCATGAGATGAATTTAAGGGTACTACAGGGTATCACTCAATATTAGCACTGTTAGGTGTGCTGACACCTACACATGATTCATAAGATAAACCCAGAGATTTCAAATAGGAAGCCATAGTGTCAAAAACATTCTGACCTGCTGTGGTCTTTCCAAGTTCTCTGCAATAAAAGCATTGTTCTATTTTTGTTCCTGTAGCATGCTGCTGGCTTAGAGAGACTTGGAGCAATCTGCTACACATCAGGCTATAGCACTCTGCAGGCTGGCAAGGACCACAGCCCAGCTGCAGGCAGTCAGAAGTGATTAGAGGCTGCCTAGGAGGACTGGGCTAGTTGATACAGATAATTGGCTGGCCACAGAAAGTTAAAAGCTTCCAAAAGAAGGGAGCTAAGGGAAGAGACAGCTAGAGAAAGGGAAGATTCTGAGGCGAGGAACTGCAGCATAGAGCAGAAGTAGCTTTCTCTGGGCCTGGGAATAGACCAGAGGGTGAGAGAGAAGGCTAGAAGCAGCAGTGCCACAGAGTTAATGTTTAATCCCACAAAGTATGAGACCCCTCAATCTTCACTGGCATCAGCATCTTGTTTGCCAAGACATTCTGCAAAACATTACATTGTTCCCATTCAAGATACCAAGCCCAGACATCACAACAGTCCCACTGTCATCACCAACATATTTACCAAGACAGTTCCTGCAATTCATGCTAGTAGCAGCACTTTATTTACTATGAGACAGGGGCAGCCATCCTTATCCACATAGAGCAGAACCTAGTTTCTCTAGTAGTCTCATTTACAGCAAGATGACAATACTCAGCATGAGTAAAGATGGTGAAATGTGGCTCAAAAGACTAAGCTATCATTTCACTTTAAGATCACTAAGTTTTTGGTAGACTTACTGTTCTAGAAATATTTTGCTTTGTGACTTCTTTGGATTCTAGGCACAGGAAAATGTCAGGCTGCGACATTTAAAAAAATGCTTTAGTCCAAAGTATTAGAAAGATTCCAGTGGCATCACAGTTAAACGAATGACAAGCTTTGCTATTGATTTCAGTGGATCCAGTCTTTCATTTTTACACTCCATCCCTTGCAGTTCAACTTCTGGGGAAATGTCCCACAAAAACATCTGTGATAAAGGTATTCAGGGGTTCACAAGAAGTTTATGTTACATGCACTCCAGATTTATACTACAGATAATCTTCAAAGCAAGAGTAAAAATATTTGGAATTAGCAAATGAGGTTGCAAGTACTAAACCCCTTGAATTGATTCATTCATCAATTCAATATTCTGCTCAATCATAAAAACATTATGGAAATGAAATGGGAAAAAACCTTAGGATAATTTAACTTTGATAGTTAAGAAGTGGTAGCTGATGTGGAAGCAAAGAATGGGATGAAGATTTATTGAAAATTTATTTTACTGGATTTTGTGTAATCCACATACATAATCCATGCTTTCCACGGTGTTATTTCTGCTGGCCAAGATCACATATTAATATTGAAAGGGGGGGGAAGATGTGCAGTCTATCTAGACAAGAGTACCTTCCTGCACTTGGCACATAAGGCTCAAATAAATTAATAAAAATTAGATGTACTTAAGGCTGAAATACATTGGTGCTCCACCAGCTGCCATCTCTTCAGATAAACTGTATGTGTTGTCTTAGCTGATGATCAAGACAAAAGGTTCATCAACTCCAAATTAGTTTTTCAAAGCATCCTGAAGCAAATTTGGGTGGAACTTTTAATACAATTCCCACTGATGATATTATTATATATTTTCTTTTTGCCTGATGTCCTGTAATGCAGTTCTTTTGTGTCACTACAAATCTGGTCTCCTGGGCCCCTATATAATCTTTTTATGTTCTCTGTTTATTTTTGTTGCATGTGACAGACACACATTTAATTTTGCAGGTTATTCTACTTGAATTCTTATGTCATTTCTTCATTGCTCAAGCATCAATAGTAGTTGAATTAACTTGAAGTCAGTTAATAGATTAAGATCTCCCTTTGGTTTCCCCTCTAGATGAACACCTTTAATTGGAAGCCTTCATTATCTTTCTTTCTTATAAGCCTTTTTCTTCCTTCTCTAGAATATTGTGATATGGTTTGAGAGTCTGGGATTTCAAACAAAAGAGAGAAAAACAAGCACCTTCAAATAAATAAGTAATTTACAAAAAAAATCTGTGTCCTTGTAAAGTGACCACAGTAACTCAGCAATGGTCTTCATTTACGTTTGCTATATAATGGCTTCTCAATGAAAACATTTCAAACAAATGCGATGAAGAAAATCCATCCTTGAGGAAGAAGTTAGGAAACAAGAACTATACAAGCGACCACATCTTTGTGAAATGCCATGTCCTTCAGAAGAACCGGTGGGTTCTGTGGGAGGGTTTCCAATACCTCCTTAAGGTTACGTTGATTTACACAGTTGAACTATAAACTTGATCTGTGTAATCCATATATGAACTATAACCTTGAAAAATTCAGTCACAGATGAGAGCTGAAGATCGTAAAAAACATTTACATTGTTTTTAAACTTACTTTGACCAAGGCTGAAATCCAGGGGGTATTTCCAGTTCAACTGCAGTATAATTATTTGTAAAAGTCACATGTATCAGCACAGTACGGACAACAAGCTTTCAAAGACCTTTTATTCAGTTCCCCCCTCTCACAAGGCCAGCAGGCAGAGCACAAGGTTGTGGACCCATGTCCTGACCCCAGCACTGCTTCTTCATGGAAGTTAACAGATGTGCCTGAAGGCTAAAAGGGGAGAGTTGGCCATTGTTGGAATTGATTTTTCAATACTTCCTTTCAGGGAAACAAGATGCCAGATGCCAAGACAATTACTAGATTCTTGCTCAAAAAACCTAAGGTGCACTTAATACCTCAGTGTGACAAACTTCAAAATTACTACCTTGTCTCTGTAATCTTCAGATTATGACTAGGGATCCAGGTTTCCTGTTTTTCATGGAAAAATGGAGAAAAATGCTGATTTCCCCCTTTACCCAAGGAAAATGCAGATTTTTCATTTTAATGGAGAAGCCCATAGTTTTTGCACTTTTGCAAAGACCTCTGCAGGCTGGCAGAGTTGCAACCTGCAGAGGGCTGGGGGGAGCAGGAGTGGGGTGGTCAGGCAGGGGACTCAGACCCCCTGGCAAGCAGCTCCTGCAGGTAACTCTGGTGTGGGGGGAGGGGAGGGGAGGCGGGGAGGAGGCCCCCATAGGGAGGCAGGGAGGGAGTTAGGCAGAGCTGGGGCTGGGGCTCCTGTCCAGCTGGGCAGTGTGGGGCTTGGGGCCCGGGGCTGGAATACGCAGCTTCAGGGCCCTGGCAGGGAGCGAGACTGGGCTGCAGGTGGCTTATCCGGGGGGCGGGGCTGAGGCCGGCTCCCTGCCATTGCGCATACTCCTGGGCGGGAAGGGGGGGGGAACCCGTGCCCCCAGATCTGTGTGCGAGATGGACACGGGCTGCGTGCTGTGGGCTCAGGCTCCCCACACAGCAGCTGAGCAGGTGTGACCTGGCATGGCAGGGGAGAGCGGGGC